TTTTTTGCCGCTGGTAATGTCCATGTTCTCAATTCCATAGGAGGGGCTGAAATAGAAAGAGGGGTATATCTGAGATGAAATCTATACACTAATGTTTACAAGAGGAGTGTTCTTTCAGTTACCATATAAAAAAGTATTTTATTTGCATTTTATTTTTTGTCCATCAACAGCTATATATTTCACTATTTGAACAGTACTGATAAGATGTCCATACTATACCTGCTTCCAGTGTGCGTATGACGCGTCCCGACCTTTCTAGGGTGACGGTCACAGGCTCTTTTGATTTCTGGTCAGAGTTGGGATGATGTGAAGGATCTGTCCTATCTCTCTGCAATTAAATATATAAGGTTGAAAATGCTTCTGGAGGCCCAAGACACATGCTAATTTCCTAGTTGAGTACAGAGATGCAAACAAACACACACACACACACACACACACACACACACACACACACACAGTTGGTATTAAAAACTGCGAGTACATAAGAACATATAAGATTACGGTTGCTCACAGTTTTTGAATTTTCAATCCATCTGACATATTCACTTCAAAGAATGTTTTTCAAAGCATAGTTTAGCATTCTTGATATGTATCCCTGATATATAACCTTTCAAACCTGAAATACTGTATTCAAGTAATAAACTTTACATGGCTGCCTGCAATCTTGATTTATGTCAATTGTGATTTATGCTGGCATTTTAACCTACATTTCTCTCCTTAATGTTTTGTTTGGGTACTTCATTGTCCCTGTCTAGGGGGGGAACAGGGGGTATGGACTGGATGCCAGACTTGAACTTCAATAGTAAGATAAAACGAAATGCAGCCCTGGAATTGAAACAAAAATATTATGAACACAAGTGTTTTTTAACATGCATACATATCAGGAAAATTATAATTGCATATCCATAATAATCATAATAAATATACTTCTTAATATATGGGATAAAAATAAGGAAACAAAATAAAACACATGCTCTGATTATAAGGACAGGCTTTCCACAGCGTGCACACTAACAAATGTACATCACATACAGCTAAAATTACAAACAAATGCTCACAAGACACATGTAATCTAATACTGCTATATACATATACAACTATAATGCCTTACTTAGTTATTTCAATGCAGGCTACAAGAATCCACTTTCCTGTCTCCCCAAACATGCGTGTTGCCAGCATCTCAATGAAGACCTGGACATATTCTAAAACAGTCAGCAAGGTGTGCAGGCGTGCTTGGGACACTGGCTACAATGATACAAAAATAAATAAATAATATTTGGCGAAAAAGCAACAACAAAAAATTGTAATATTTGCAAATTTTGTCAAGTTATTGATATTTAGAACAAGGCAGCGCATGCTGTCAAACGGACAGAATTATATATAATATATATTCTTTTTACAGTAGCAAAACAAAATGACACTTGAGAAAATACCAATTTGCATGATAAAGGACAAAGATGGGCCTCTCTTCAGAAACAAAGGATCAAAGAAACCCATATTACATTTATTTGACTAATGATGAAAGCATTCTACTTGTAAAATAAAGCAGACACAGGTGATGGTTATAATGTCCAGATACTGCCTGTCAGTAAAAACAGTATAATCTTAAAAATTCAAAAAATTAACTACTTGTAATTAAGCATCTCACTCAAATAATGCCTGATATACAAATTATTAGAGCAATTCAGAGACCGCATAATTGTTTTTCTTACCACATTGATGGATAACATGTTGGCTTTCCGCAGAATTCCATCATTGAGTAGGACAATAAGATTTGAAGCAGAGTAAACTAGTTCTGACAGCACTGGTGAATCACTGAATCGTCCTGAAATTAGAGTCAATACGTAACTAGAAATACACCCCTCACTTCACCCTGAATTTTTCCAAATCTGCCAAGGATGTAAAAAATTTGCCTGTACTATTTAGTATATGGGAAATAGAAAGGAAATAGGTGCCTGTGTTTACAATGCATAAGCCCATACCAAAAATTTGACCAAATTTATGCCCTTTAATGAGCATTTTCTATGTATTGAATGGATTTGACTTATTTGGATTATGATAAGGTTTATTTGGGTTCAAACCTGAGTGACTGTGGAAGTATTCTATTCACACGTACTTGAATGAAGTCAAAAGTAAAAGATGTGTTGGCATTCATTATGTGTGTGAAAGTTATCTTCCAGAGTTTCTCAATGAAAAGTAAAAGAGATAAACATGAAAAAATGTTATTTTGGCTAGTAATTTGTAATAAATATCTGATTGAAATTGAATAAAGCAACCTATTTGATTTTGGAACTGAGATGGCAATTCTGTTGTTTCTGACACCAGCACCGCTTGCTGATAGGATGTCATGAAAAAGACTGTATCTGCAATCATTATCTGCTTCCACACTAAGGTAGCTAGTAACCCTACTCAGTACTGGCAGACGAAAAGTGCATAGGTGTTGAGAATTAAGATGGAATACAATGGAAAATGAATTCTCCCAATATTTTATGGCACAACAGGTGACAAATCCTACAATTACCATACGACAGCAAGAATCCTAACCTCCTAACATGTCGGCACAAATTAAGTTTTAGTAATATATACTACTAAAATGGTGACATTACAAGTCTAAAATACTTCATTTTCTCTACTGCTGCCTATCTGGCAAATCTAAGCCAGTAATGTGCACGACCCTCTTACTTTTGATTATTACAGCATGTCACCTGGCANCAGCAAGGTGTGCAGGCGTGCTTGGGACACTGGCTACAATGATACAAAAATAAATAAATAATATTTGGCGAAAAAGCAACAACAAAAAATTGTAATATTTGCAAATTTTGTCAAGTTATTGATATTTAGAACAAGGCAGCGCATGCTGTCAAACGGACAGAATTATATATAATATATATTCTTTTTACAGTAGCAAAACAAAATGACACTTGAGAAAATACCAATTTGCATGATAAAGGACAAAGATGGGCCTCTCTTCAGAAACAAAGGATCAAAGAAACCCATATTACATTTATTTGGCTAATGATGAAAGCATTCTACTTGTAAAATAAAGCAGACACAGGTGATGGTTATAATGTCCAGATACTGCCTGTCAGTAAAAACAGTATAATCTTAAAAATTCAAAAAATTAACTACTAGTAATTAAGCATCTCACTCAAATAATGCCTGATATACAAATTATTAGAGCAATTCAGAGACCGCATAATTGTTTTTCTTACCACATTGATGGATAACATGTTGGCCTTCCGCAGAATTCCATCATTGAGTAGGACAATAAGATTTGAAGCAGAGTAAACTAGTTCTGACAGCACTGGTGAATCACTGAATCGTCCTGAAATTAGAGTCAATACGTAACTAGAAATACACCCCTCACTTCACCCTGAATTTTTCCAAATCTGCCAAGGATGTAAAAAATTTGACTGTACTATTTAGTATATGGGAAATAGAAAGGAAATAGGTGCCTGTGTTTACAATGCATAAGCCCATACCAAAAATTTGACCAAATTTATGCCCTTTAATGAGCATTTTCTATGTATTGAATGGATTTGACTTATTTGGATTATGATAAGGTTTATTTGGGTTCAAACCTGAGTGACTGTGGAAGTATTCTATTCACACGTACTTGAATGAAGTCAAAAGTAAAAGATGTGTTGGCATTCATTATGTGTGTGAAAGTTGTCTTCCAGAGTTTCTCAATGAAAAGTAAAAGAGATAAACATGAAAAAATGTTATTTTGGCTAGTAATTTGTAATAAATATCTGATTGAAATTGAATAAAGCAACCTATTTGATTTTGGAACTGAGATGGCAATTCTGTTGTTTCTGACACCAGCACCGCTTGCTGATAGGATGTCATGAAAAAGACTGTATCTGCAATCATTATCTGCTTCCACACTAAGGTAGCTAGTAACCCTACTCAGTACTGGCAGACGAAAAGTGCATAGGTGTTGAGAATTAAGATGGAATACAATGGAAAATGAATTCTCCCAATATTTTATGGCACAACAGGTGACAAATCCTACAATTACCATACGACAGAAAGAATCCTAACCTCCTAACATGTCGGCACAAATTAAGTTTTAGTAATATATACTACTAAAATGGTGACATTACAAGTCTAAAATACTTCATTTTCTCTACTGCTGCCTATCTGGCAAATCTAAGCCAGTAATGTGCACGACCCTCTTACTTTTGATTATTACAGCATGTCACCTGGCTTTTCAATGCAGAAACTTCCTAAGAGCAGATCCAAACAAGGGCACACTGTTAGAAATGAACAGAGCCAGCTCTAATAGTGAAGGAACATCTGTATCCTCTTTTGTTAAGCTTAAACAAGGTAAGAAATATCTATCACTTAACAATTTTATATCTTTCCTACTTCAAAGAGGGTTCCATCTGAAAATGGTTCTGACACTGATAGTTGTCAAAAAACAAAATTTTAGTACCCTAAATAATATAGTAAAATGTTTGGATCTCTGAGTCTCTTTTTCCAGTTAACGGTAGCATGTAGGCCTAAGGTCGCAAACTGAGGCAAAGTCCGATGTGGTCCAAAAACAAAAAGAAGAGGGAGGGTCCACATGTTAATGATCACATGTTAACTGATATACATGTATATAAATAGGCGGTCTATATGTAACAACCTTTACCTGACAAAGTAGTCCAAAAAATGATATTGAAAATAATACCGCGGTACTACCTGTACCTCCCTTTAATTTCAAAGTTGTACGTGTACATTTGACAGTAGCTGAAGCAGGAAGTTGGTTAAAACACTTCAAAATATCCGATGAAAACGGTTAATCAGAGATAAAGAAAGTTAGCCTACCTGCAATTGCGTAAGACCCTAGTCTAAATATTGTTTCTACTTGGGTCGTAGAGTCCGGATTATTTGCTATGAATTTTTTGTATTTTTGTATGAGTTTGTTTATGTCGTCCGCCATTTTTGCAGGTGCCCATGTGAATAAATAAAGTACGGGATTGGACAGTACGTAAATTAGGTCAACCAATGAAGCTTTGCGACACATTGCCATTAAATCCGAGGAAAGGGGAGATAGTGTACAATGACCTCGGTCGATTCTACGGCACGAGTTACTGGCAAGATGAAATGTCGATGTTAGGTAAGTGCAGTATAGTCTGCTCGTTAAAAGAGAGACCGTAAGCATCATGCCGTTTCAAAGTAAGATGCCTTACGCGTGCATACCATGCGCATCTCTTCATCCAGAAATCTGTGGCCGTGATTGTGTTTTCTGAATCAGTGTATGTTTATTTTATTTATCTGTTTCGACTTGGGTTTGCTACCTTCGTTCTGCTTTTCTGCCTCTATCTCTCCTTTTCAAGTTTTCTTGAATGTACTTTAGCACTTCAGCACTACAATTATTATGAAAAGCGCAACCTAATGTGCCAGAGTAATCAGTATGCAAAGGGTAGCACTAGCAGTGTTGGAAATGATTTTAAAGATTGCCTTACCATATACTTAATAGCTAAAATTAGTCTTTCTTTCTTACTGTTAACGTTATGAAAAAGTAACATTTAAATGTAACATCAGCAACCCCTTCGTTTTTTTATAATTATTTTTCCAACGTGTAAGATGCTACGCTTTCTTAAGCAACAAGCCACAAACACTGCTTTAACACTTGTGCCATATTTTTGAAGACCTCAGCTACAGGACATTTCATAGTATTTTGGACAGTAAGATAAGTGAAGAAAATGTTTTGATGAAATTTAAGACAAATTCCATGTAAGCTTGGTAGTTCTATTCATGTTTTATTTTATTTTATTATTATTTTTTTTCATTTCTAGTGTACTCCATTAAGTATACTCCCCTCCCCAATAAACAATAATGATAAATATTTTAATAATTATAATAAAACTGCCTTCTGTGGTTTTAATTAGGAATTTTTTTAATTAAAAGCCTTACAGTTTGAATGTTCTTAATCCAGAGTCCATTTATTGAATGGAAAACTAATGAGTCCAATTTTATCCCTAACAGAGGAATGTTTTATGTCACAGAACCCAGGATGCTTGGGTTTTTATTAGCCTTGTCAGAGGTATTATAGATATACCAGTAGTAAAATTGACTGTATTAGTTTAAATATAGATGCAATTTTGAATAGTTTCCACTTCTCTGCACTTCCCTGCTATAGCCGTCATAGTGCTTTTCTGTCCATTAGAACAAGCTGATTAATATAACTGTGCCATTTTTATTTCATGTTTTGCAAACTGTTCTGCTAAAACATTCAACAAGTTTGTTTCCTAAAAAAGATTAGCTTACATCAGAATTAGCATGCAACAAGGATTTTTAAACCCCAAAAGATATTACTCTTCTTGAATCATGTACATTGAGTAATGTGTAACATTATCCAGATCAATCAATGAAAAATAGACTAGACTTTTTAGTGAAAGATTTATGAAAGCTCTTTGTAATATTGAGTGACTTAATGTAAATTTGGAGATAAAAGGTTACAGATATTCCCCCATGTGGCCCAGTGTGTACATCTTTAGGTAGAAGAATGCAATCTTTGTGTACAAATAAAATTCATCTGTTAGATTCTCAGCATACCCGTATTAGTGTTTGCCTTTGATGTAAGCCAAAGTTCAGTTATAAATATATTAACCTATAGGTTAATTAAACTGTTAAACAGTTGACACCAAAGAAACACAAGAAAAAAAACATGCCCTTTAGGTCTCCTTAAATTTCACTGAATAGCAACATTGATGCATGGTATATAAGTGTATGTCATTAGCACTGATAACATTAGCATTTTAGATAGGATGTTAATGTTGAACAGTCTATATGCTACCTATTTACATAAACACACTCTTATGATGAGAACCAGACTAAATATATCAATTTTACCCTTGAAGTGTCAGGTTGTTTGGTGTCATTCCTGTTTTCCTGATTAGTGATATCTTTTGTAAGATCTTGTTTTTGATGATATGATAAAGATGAGAGTTTATGCGAGAGAAATGAATCAGTTACTGGTATATAAAATCGTCTTTTATTCTTTTAAACTGAGATGCTTCCACTCTACAGTGATCCAGGAAAACTGGCTTGTTTCCCAAATTCAGTACAGGATTGAATGAAAAAAGTTAAATGTTCAGTTTCAAATGGCATAAAAAGTGCTTGTCTTTGCATTGAAATATTTAAAAGACAACTGCAGTGCTAATTTATCTTTGTTCAAGTTTATTAGGGACTCAAATTACGTACTGTACTTGTGATGACACATCAAACAGCTTCTTGATTGAGATACCATTTTTAAAAAAAAGGTCTGATTAATGTTAATGGCTTTCACCTGTGGTCACTCATTCTCTGACCAGCCACATTTCTTGATATGGTATTTGGCAAAGGTTATCAGTGAACTGTTTTTCAGCTGACTGTATAGATAGTTTGGATCACCCTGAGTTCTGATGTTTCTTTTACTGAAAGTTCTGAGTTAAAATTACTAAGAATGTTAAGATCACTTTACTTTAACTCTCTCCAGCACAAGATAGTTCTGCCATAAGTTAAGATCACCCCGATAATAACACCCAGAAAAATCACTGATCTGGGATATTTAGATAAGCAGCAGTCTTGAAATGCCACTGCTCACATTTTGTTGCCCATGACATTCTTTATGAAATTTTCAATATATTACACTGTATATCAAGACTTAAGTGATAAATAACTATGAATGAATATTCAGTGAGTCTGAATTTTGGCTATCCTTGCTTAAAGGCAGATCAACTAGTAAAGGTGTCGATTTTAAAGGTGTAAAATGTGTGTTGACGGGCACAGGTTTATCCATAATAAGAGCATTTTTTCTTGGCAAACCATCCATTGCCTTTTCTGTCATGACAATATACACAGGGTATCTAGGATGGGCTCCAGTGCAAAGGTATGGATACATGATTAGGGAGGGCAGAGCAGAGGTAGTGAATACCAGACCACACAACCACATAGCTGAGGCCAGTTAGTCCGGCTTCTGTTTCCTCAAACAGTAATATGTGGCTGCTGATTGAAGTTTAATGGGGTGATACCTCATAAGAAAGAGGAAGGCCAACCAAGTTTATGCACTGGATACATCCTGTGATCAGGTTAAAATCTAAACTGGTACTGTTAAATACGGCTGACCCTTTGTACTGTAAAGAGGGAGATTGTTCCTACTAGTATTTTAAAACTAGCAAAGCTCTCAGAAGATTTTACACCTTCGTGTGTGTTAATTGCTGTTTGGGCATCCAAGGTTTATACCAGGTAGGTCGCCATGTGGGGTACTGCAGTTTGGTAGAAAGCTTGTATGTTGTGTAGCTGAATTTGACTTCCCTAGTTTACTGCTGAATTGAATATATATCTTATTGGTATTTGCATTTTGGTAAGTTGGATTGGTTCTTGATAGTTATTTTTCACCATTGATGTACAGAAAAAGTGCTCTTGTAAATATTAGTTGATGTTGTGGTGAAATATTTGTATCTCACAGTTTTGTAAGCTTTGGAAAATGATAATTTTCATCTTAAAATGTGCTTGCGCACATGCTCATTCCAAGAAGTTTAGGAAGTTATTGCATTATTATGGTTTGTTTTTGTTAAAGCCAGTTGCCTACATTGGATCCAGAAGGCAAATTAACATGGTTCTTAGGTTTTTTTTAGCCACTTATCGTACTATTTTTGAACAGCTAGAGTAAATATTGAGCTGTTGGCTCATTATGTGCTTCCTTTGGCAATGCAGAACTTAAATAACATCCCTGTTGCTGTGTTGGTAGCACTTCATCAGACACCGAAGTAGCACTACTTATTCCAGGCTTATTCCCAACACTCATTAATTCATGAATGAAGGACTGATTGCAGCTGGGGGGAGGTTGTCAAACTACTGTACTACATGCCATACTCATCATTGTCATCATCCTATTAGCACTTAGCTCTCTGAACTGGAAAATTTTCCACAAGATCAAGCTTCTTGAATTTGGAAGTTTTGTTGGATTATTTGTAATTTGGTAGTCAGTTTTGATGTGGTAATAAGAGGAAATTATGGCCATAGATTTTTGTTAATAATATTTGATGGTCTCCCTGGTGGTTTGCTACAGTGTGTTGAAGTGGTTGGTTTGTTAGTGTTAGTTGCAGCATGTGGAAGGGAAATTAATTTTCATTGATCTGCACTTTTTCATTAGACTTGTTATTGTATTTAACCTAACATACACACATACTGTAGACAGAAAAAGAAATTCATTGTGACTTGCCAGAAGACAGGAATTCACAAGTACTTGTGGTAGTCACATGGCAGTTTTTAAGTTTTGCTTGGACTTTATATGGTGATCTTTTGGGGAAGATATTGAACTCATTGTAAGTGTAGCCATGTTCCTCAGAAGCCTTGTTTGAGTAAAATATTTTTATTAATTTCTAGATGTCGTAGGAATGCCAGGAAGAATCTGTGGATTCATTGTCATTGACTGGCAGGATGATCCATGAAATAAACTTTGGAATGATGTTTACAAACATAAGTTCATGGTAAGTTTTGCTTTGGTTTTCTCTTGTTCATTTGAATTAGACTAGAAGTCATTGATGGTCTTCAATGGATGATCTTTTATAGAATCACACTTGAATGAGATATTGGTATGTGAGTGAAAGTAGCTCCCATAAACTAATTTCACCGAGACCGCAGGACACTCTGGGCTGGGTGGGCACGTGGGTTTGGTTTGCGTGATGGGAAAAGGAGGTCTCTTTCCTCAGAACTATGTTTTTTTTTTTGTTTTGTTTTGTTTTTTTGTTTGTTTTTTTTGCCAGTTTCCACACCTAGTGAACAGTATCATGTCCAAGGTCTGATCTCAGAATTGTTAAATATAACAAATACAATATGAATAAGTTTAAACTGTCATGAATAAAACATATTTTGGCTAATTTTTTACTTGTTGCCTTTTAAATGTGTCCTTAAGTTTGTTAATTTTGTCACCTCCATTCTGGTGGTTTTTATGCAACCAGACCAACTAAAATGTTTTATATTTCATAACATTGACCTGCAGTATTCAAGCCATTCATCAGTTACCAATAGGAAAAATCTGTTTAATGCAGTTCAGGAAAATCTGTTTTTCTATGCCTTTAAGCAGTGTATTTAAAAGGCTTTGAAAAACCTGCTGATTACTCACATAATGCATTAATTGTGTAACCATTTATCTTGCGTTTCAAGGGAGGTTGCATTCTCCTAGTTCATAGCTTAATGGGACTTCATGTGGTTTTTGCACAAAATTATCGATTAAAATTTTTACTGTTCTTCAATACTTTTTCAAGTATTTACCTATGACAAATTCAACAATATATGAAAGTATACCTGTTGATGATCATTTTCTTCTTCACAGGGCATTAGGTAAGGTAAGTGGTGAAAAGTATTCCTTGGATTTTTATTTTTCATAAAAATTTGACAACGTGGGCAGGGAAGCAATATGCTTTCGTTAGGACAGGCTACATGAAAAGACTGCCAATCCAGTATATGTACTGTCTCTAAGTATTTTCTACAGATTTCATAATTTTATTGTCTGGCCCTCCACCCTCCCCTCTCCCATAGTACCTTATTATACCTGTGGGACATTAGAAGCTTTTCTGTTTGGCACATACACAAAATCCCACAGACAGCTTACAATGGTGCACTTTCTACACACACATTGATTTGCACTTGGCATTTCCAAGGCAGAGATATGGCTTTGAGTTGAAGATAACCAGACTTGTGAGCAATATATAGATTGTCAACAAGTGAAATCATATATGGAGAGCAGTTTTTATAAATGTAGGGGTCAGAAATATAAAGAAAAACTTTTTGGTGGTGGGGTGCGTGTTTCATTGAAATGTGGAATTTGTTGTAGTCAAGAAAGTATATGCTGTTACCTACTGGGTAATTGATATGGGCTAAAAGGGTTTAAAATAGATTAAAATAAGGATAAAGAAGGATAAAAATGAGTCAAAAATAGATCATGCTCGAATCTCTCAGGTTTGCTATATTTGCTTTGAATAAATGCTGTAAAATATTCCGGTTGTAGTACACTATGGCCGCATTCACAATCAAAGTTGATCCAAGGACTAACAGATCTGCGGATCATTGCCGACCCACTTTGAAGCTTGCCGTGTAATCTCTGCAGGAATCTCTTCAGTATCTATTGGGGGATTGTATTTCATGCTTTCAAGTGGGTCGGCAATATTTGATCCATGGATCTGTTAGTCTGTGGATCAACTGGATCTAAATGCAGCCTAAGTCTGTTATGGCAGTCTCCAGCAGAGATTAAGTTTCCATTAAGAGCAGTGAGAATTCAGAAGTACTTGGATTGACATAGCATTCCAGTGTGTTAAACCAGTGGCTGTAAAGGAGACAGTTAGAAATATTTATTTTTTCAAACCCAGCCCTCATTGATGGATTCATTGGAATAGAATGAGGATATAATCCTCCATGTCTATAAGTATGTATTTATTGTTATTTTTTACAAATTGACTGTCATTTTATACATTTAAATTACATATGAATTTTCTATGATGCTATGACGATTTTTAAAGTAATTATTATATATATATGATAGAGAACAATAATCCAAATAACATTGGTAAGAAGAACAAATATGTGTATGGGTTTTTATTGTAAGTACCTGCTAGTTTTCTCCTAATCCCTGTTTTCTCATGCTGGCTGAAATCAAATCAAATCATTGGTGGCATATGAATAAATAGTTTCCTTTTACAGTTTGCCATATTTGGCATTCAGTCACTAACTAAAATATCAAGTGATACAATACACCTTTCATGGACAGTAGTTAGTATTGAGAAATCTCTGGTTACTTTCAGTTAATAGCAGACCCAGTAGCAACAATGTGTATATTTGGAGCCCCTGGTTGTATTGATGCATGTACAGTGAGCATGAATGATGAGTGCTGAGTGAGCATGAATGATACTTGTTCAGTAGTGGATTCAAGTAATAAATCCCTTGATAACTCCCTGTTACATTAAACTCATGGGGTTAAAAACCACAAGCATTCCTGTTTTCACTGATTATTATAATTGGTGTATGCTATCGTTTGTAGGCCTAGACCTGGGTTGATATTACATGTGGAGGTAATTTGTCTGGACAGGGCATATACTAGTTTTTATGTGTTGAAAAAAATGCTGGAGCTATCTTGATTACCAACACAGATGTTCTACCTCTGATGATCCCCCTGAGATCCCAATAAAAAGATGTAATGAATGCCCAATTTTTGTCATTTGATCTACCTAACAGAACCAGGACAGAACTAGAGGTACAAATAATTCAAGAGAAAATACATTTCATTTGTAAAAATTTATAGTCATTTAAAAAAACATGTAAGTTTTTTCATGTGTACAGTAAGTAGTTTCAGGGTGTTCTATTTGAGATTTTCCAGTCAAGTGGATTTTACTTCAAGAAAAAAAAATACAGTCAGTTGAGAAAAGAAATACCAAATGATGGATATTGAGATCAACTTGCATGTTGAACAAACCTGAACATAGCACCTATTTTTGGTGCCCATACTGATGGTCTGCTCTGTGTTACAAAATGGATCTCAATTTACTCAAGAGTTGCAAGACTTGGCCAAAACGAAGAATCACCCAGCACTGTTAGAAAATTTGGTTGCACCAGTCTATGCGCGCTTAGATTTCTATTATGTCTTGTTCTGGTGTTTGACATTTATCAGAATAACTTACCTAGTTAACTGAAGGGCTGGCTATGCATCACATCTTTTGTATCCTACAGTTCTGCCAAGGTTTGTGTTGCTGAAATGTGGTCAATGTGCTTTTGAAAACGTCAGTCCAAACTGACCGACCAAATTTAAAACTGGATCTTTAAGAAAAAATTCATTTCTAAGTAGAAATGATGTACTAGTAAGAATAATACAAGTGGTTACCATATATATCTTATATATATACATTCTTTTATTTATGTTTCAGAGCATGATCCGTGTGTACAAGAGAGCTGTGCTATTTCTGGTGGTGGTGCTCCTGCTCCCTGTGATACTGCTCATATACCTAACCTTTGGAAGTGATGGTAAGTAGACAGTCTCAGAGGCTCTGTAGAGCTAAGTGTTAAGCAAAAACCTACTTTTTTTCAAGAGGCAAGTATTTAAATCACTTGGCAAGACTGAGGTATTGGCAAATCATGGAAAAATTTCCTAGAAAAGCAAAAAAAAAGACAAAAAAAGGAGATTTGTGTTACTTGTAGGATAATATTGGAAGTGGAAGGGAGTCAAATATGATCCAGTGCCACATTGGATTATTCAAAGTAAAAGAACTGAGTAGATTTTAAAAAAATCCCTTTGTCTGGAAAAATGTTTTATTAAACAATGAAATTATGAGTACAGAAATAAATTCAATGTAATTCTATGGCCATAACTTAGATAAATAAATAAATAAAATTAATTTAGGCCATATAGTCGAGCTGTTGTTGAAGCAATACCATGAACTAATATACTTTTAATGAATATATTTCTTATTTAAAAGATTAGAAATACAAACAACAAGTTTTTTAGATTTAGGGAAGGCTGATACTTGATACTGTTATCTGGAGAGTTTACTGAAAATAAAAATCTAAAAATACAGCAGTATGTGGATTTAATTTGGTTTAAGGTAAAGCTCAGATTAACTAAAAGTTGTTCAACTATAGATAAATAATATTAAAATAAATTGTTGCAGGATGTATATCATATTGAACTATCGTTAAAAAACCCTGTCACATTGATAAATTATGAAAAGCTATTGAGTGAAAATCCTTTAAACCTCTATCTTCATGACTGCATGCAAAATTGCCATATTAAATACATCCTCAGAAAACACAGAGCTCTGTTTTTCTCCTGGTTGAATAACAGAGGTGTTGTTATGTCTGTGTACACAGGTTTGTAACCTGTGGTCTTAATACAGATAGGTGTGGCACTTCTAGCATGATAATCCAATTAAGATAAATATTCTCCTTTTGGAAATAAATCTTGGCAAAGATTTGATCTGGATCTGCTAGATGACCCTGTGAGATCTTTGGCTGGTTAGACTGTGTTGTTAATGTATAACAGAGGCATCTATAATAGATTACTGATCTTTCCAGCAGTTGTAGTTATTTGTCACTGGTTTGGTGTGATGTCTAAGAGAAAGCCCAAAATAATGTTTTTCTTATATTTTTTAAACAGATTCTGATAGAATTATGCACAAACCATTATATTCAGATCTACATTTTACTGCACTAATTTTTCATGACCATTGTCATTTTAAGAGAGAACATTTGAAAAACAAGAACAAACAAAAGAAGACCTTTTTCCTAAACTAAAGTATACTTGTTGGAAATATTTATATTTATAAAGTTATAACTATTATATTGTTAAAGGTTTAATTGTGTTATAAAACTTTGTTTGTGACTCTAAACTGCTCTTTATTTGAAAAAAAAAATGATATGGGGCTGTGTATGACCTAGTGCTATCCAGTGCTGGATGGTCAAAAGGGCATGGTACTTAGTGGCAAAAAGAGTAGTTGCTTGTTTTTTACTCCCCTTCCAAACAATGTATAATTTGTGTAGAACAGTTTCAATTTTCTGCCAAGTGATTAACCACAAACGGGTTTCCTGTCTCTTTCATCCCAGTTACTTTTTGCTTGCCAGTTCTAAGGGAGAGGTCAATGAGATTAAACAAAGATACTGTTATGATATTTAATTTGTGTAACTAATGGGGCACAGTCACTTCCTAGATAAAGAATTTTAGTAGCTTTTCATACATGATAAAAATGCCAGTATATTAGTTTATTCAATATTACTTGTCCATTCTGAAAAAAAACATTGACACACACACACATATATCACATGAAGATGTTAGGTCAAAAAGATAGTTAATGTTCTAAAAATAAATATGTTTTATCTCAGCTTTTATCAAGGAAGTAGACTGGTGATTCCTACTGATGGTTGAAAATGATAATTCTGCAAGGTCACATCCATACAGAAATGAATTGGAATGAAGTATTTTATCCATTTGAGTTCAACATCAGCTCCTTTGAAGTTTTAAATAAGATATCAAGTTTCTGAACTTGAAAATTGGACTCTATGGAAAAGAGGTAGTGACTTTAAAGCTGAAGCAGTTGCTAAAAAAACACCCTATTCCAAGATTATTTATTTTTCTGTAATTTTTATGTAGTATATTTATTTGTTTTTGTTGATTGACAAAAACCTAGTATTTCAAAGGGATCAAGCATGCTTTTCAGAACTTCAAAATTACTGAATTTTTTAGGGGTACAAGCAACAAAATGTTGCTGGAAAAAAATATCACATTTGATGAAAGAAATCTATTGGCATGAATATCTTAGCTTGGTAATTGGAGCCATTGATTTCTTATCTTGTGGTTTTACTCCATTTTCTGTTAAAAGCTGTTGTCTTGGAATACCTCCATTGGAATTTTTTATCACAGTACTCTTGCCTTGCAGCCATATATGAGGGTAAAAAGCAGCGTGACCTTATGGGGTTTACAGATCGTGAGGCACGGCTAGCAGATAGAGTGCGTGAGGTGGAACAACAGAACCAGATGCTGAGGAGACAGTTGAGGTAATGAGTAACAGGCAGCATTGCCAGGGATTGCATTCTTTTTCTAATTTTGGAAAGAAAAAAATTATTTAATTTTGTCAAGTGAACTGGTAGCAGCTTGACAAAATTATTTAATTTTGTCAAGCTGCTACCAGTTCACTTGTAGTGATGGGGAAAACTGCAGAGTTTCAATCATTTATTTAGTTGCTTTCAGAATAGACATTTTATTTTGGGATGAATTATGAGAAGGAATTTCATGAATTGGGTCTTTGTGTCAGTTTTTTACAATCAACGTGTTAGGGGCTACATGCTTAATTTTATAAATTTTGTGGATCTCTACAATGTAGTTTCCCATATACTTCCTGAGTTAGTTAGCATTAGGTGAATATTTATTGTTGCATCATCCATCATATATCAAAATTTAAACTTTTGATAACTTCAACCAGCTCTGTTTGTTTTTACCCTTCTATTGGGCCACATTCAGCTGGTGGTACATACCCAGGAGGGAGTGATGCCTCTCTGATCCTTAAACAGTTGTTGTGATTTTTTCAGTGTCTCTCAAAATCAGTTAATGAACTACCAGAACAGTCTGGTGATGGACAATGAGACTGGGATATCTTTGATCAATGAAAATGGGAGACCAGTCCGCTGCAATAACCCTGAACCTGAAGTGCCAAAATGTGAAGTAAGTCAATCAGATACTGTTATTACAGAAAATAATAATAATAGTATTAATAACAATATCAGTTGATGGTGTTAATGAAGGTTGACAAAACAAGAAATACTTTTTTAATTTTAAAAACAATTTTACATTGGATTTTCACAAATCTATCAGGCAACCTTACAAGTAGTTTATGATTGAGAAGATTTAATGTAGGAAATGAGATATGAACAGAACTTGTCATAATGCAGTGCTTGGTTAATCAATTGCACACTTTGATGCTGCAGTATCTTGAATATATGGAAACCATATTTCATATACTGAGTGCCCTTGTAGTTCATTCTTATATCAGGTCTATATTTGTGATTAATGTATATTTTATAGATGTTCACTGTATTTTCTTTCCAGGTAATCCATGTGTCCATAGTGTGTGCAGGCTATAATTCCACTAGGAATGTGATCACACTTATCAAAAGTATTCTCTTCAACAGAAAGCATCCTCTTCACTTCCATTTCATCTCTGATGGTGCTGCCAAGACAATCTTACAGACACTTTTCGACTCCTGGAGTGTGCCAGGGGGTAAGTTTGACAAAATTGAATACAACCCGATTTATTTGCCAGGTACAGCTCCATTGAAAATGTTTTGAATACTTTTTGTGTTGCTTTATTTGAAGGCAAAAATTGATTGCATGTCTGGAAAATTTTGTTACCTGCCTTGCACTGAAATGTAATTTGTAATTTTTAAAAAAGTTGTATTTTCTTGACTTTTATTGTATGTTGGTGTGTCTTTTTTCAGATTTAGCTGTTGTTTTATTAACTTGGCAATGGTTTTGGGCAATAGGTGAAAACAACTTGACTGACGAACTGTATTTTTATGTCACCAGTTGCATAGTTTGTACTTGAGTTTGAATATGTTATTTTCAAATTATTTTTGCAGTGCAGGTGAGCTTTTATCTTGCGGATGACAAACTAAAGGTTGGTTTCTCTGCCTATTTTTCTGTTTTAGCCAATTGGTGACTTTGTAAATATTGAACTGACAAACATGGCAAAAGATTATTATGTTGCCAAATATACTTAGAAAGTTATATCAGTATAAAGTTACAGTATATGGTATCAGAAATGAAAGCATTTGTCTCCACTGCTGTGGGAAACTTTAAAGTACTTTAAGTACTTAAGTAAGAAAAACATATCCTCTTTTTTTTTCCAGGCTGAAGTTGCTTGGATACCCAATAAACACTACTCTGGAGTTTTTGGTTTGCTAAAACTTCTACTTCCTAATACTTTGCCTACATTTCTAGACAAGGTAAGCAGACATGAAACAGAAGTCATTCTTTATTCAGTTTCATGCCACCATAAAGATTATGAATTCATAATGAACCAGATCTGAAAACTGTATTTTTTACTATTAACTGTAATGTTACACTGTCTATTTAAAAGTGCAATATGTATTATTTTTACTTGCCTTTTACAAGCACATTTGTAGTGATTAAAATTCTGAACTATAGAGAACTTATTTAAAAACATGGTTAAACTATCAAAATTTTCCCATTCCAGGTGATTGTTTTAGACACAGACGTAACTTTTGCAACTGATATAGCAGAATTATGGAAAATATTCTCAAAATTTAAGAGTAAGCAGGTGAGAAATCAACAATTCCTTCTCAGCATAAATTGTGTGTGTGTGTGTGTGTGTGTGTGTGTGTGTGTGTGTCTGTGC